ATTGACTTTATTAATATTTAGATTTCAAAAAGAAAAAAGATTGAGAATTCTTTGACAGTCTTTAGCTTTAAAGATGTATGAAAGTTCAGGGCTGTTGAGATGCCTTAATATGTGGAAGCACTTGAGTTTGGTCTCCTGGTGGAAGGAGAACCAACTCCTGAGAGTTATACTCTGATCACATGTGTGTCTCTCTCACACACACACACCCCTCTCTCATTCTCTCTCCACCTCCCCCTAGTAATAATAGTAATGATACAGAAAATAAATAAATTCAGGAGCGCCTATCACTCATTTTCTTCCTCCCAGACCTTTACCTATTTTTCAGATTTTTATATCCCGAGCTTGGGATGCTAATTTTTAGCTGACATTGCTGAATATAGCACTTTGTGAGGTGCAGGTCTAATACAGTATGTAAGCAGTCTGGTGTCTTCCTTCCACAGTATAGTTTAATCCAGTCTGCCAGGCGCTTGAGCGCTGTTACCTTGCAGCAGTCTTGGAAATCCCATCAGCGCAGTTCACACTAGGCCTTTGCCCCTCGATTGCCTCAGTGGGCACTGTTTTTATTTTCCTCTAGGTGCTTCATGGAGTCGACTACCTCACTTCAGGTACTGGTTTCTCACATTAGCACTGTGTTTTAATTTCAAAATAAGTTTTGCCTTTTGTTCACTTGAGCACTGACCACAACAAACTCAAACCTGTGTTACCTTTGGGACTTGGGTACTGTCTTTTGCCTTTCGTGTGGCGAACATGCTTCTTGTATTGGCCTATATTAACATCCTGGTCTTTTGTGTTATGGTTTTTTAATCCAGAGAGTTTAGGATTTATTTCCTTTTTAATCATGCTCTCTCTCTCTCTCTCTCTCTCTCTCTCTCTCTCTCTGTGTGTGTGTGTGTGTGTGTGTGTGTGTGTGTGTGTGTGTGTGGTGCAAATCAACTTCTACACTTGTTCTCTTAATTTGGCAATAGAATTTGAAGAGAAATAATAGATTTGAGGAGCAAAGGAGGTAGCTCACGGGTAGAGCACTTACTTAGCCTGCCTGAGGCTGAAGATTCAGTCCTCAACACCAAGGTGGAGTGGAGTTGGATTCATGTCTACTTACAGACACATAATTAGACTCAAAATGACCAGTTTACCTAGAATAGAGTTTATTCTAGAAGTGGCTGTTTTGGCACCCTGCTGTGTTTCCTCTATAATTACACATGACATGCATGCGTCACTAGATCCTGTACTAATTTCTAATATAGCAGGACCTTATTTTGAGTTTGTTCTTGGTTAATCCTTCTGTGTATTCCTGCTCACATTGATTAAAAGGCTGCTGTGTTTGACATGAAATAGAACTAAATGGATTGAAGGAATTTGAATGTTGTACCTTAGAGGAAATTAATAGGATGGAAAAGATTTATAGTGTTTAGATGATCTGAGGTGGAGGTAAGAAAAGTAAGTTATCTGATGAGTGTTGCCTATACGTGCACATCTGCTTTTAGTTTTTATTTGTTTAGATTTATGTACATGAGTGTTTTGCCTGCATGCATGTATGTACACTGCAGGCATGTGTGGTGCCTGCAGAAACCAGAAGAAGGCATTGGACATATTGGAACCAGAGTTGTGGGTGGTTGTGAGCCTTGAGGGTTCTGAGAATGGAACCTAGGTTCTCTGCAATAGCAGCAAGTGCTGGTAACGGCTGGGCCACCTCTCCAGCTGCACTTATGTAGTCCTTTGGATGAAAGAAGCAGACTAAAAGTCACTGTCATTTCAGTCGGAGTCAGGAGCAAATAGTTTAGGCAATTCATAGACGTGGAAAATGTAGCTATGTTCCATCAGCTCCCCACCCCCCTTGTGTAGTCTGTGAACTTTCCTGTCAGTGGAGTAAACCTGGGGCAGGGTCTCTAGTCTACACTTGTTGCATACCGTGAACAATACCTAAAGTCCACTAGCTGTATCTGGGGAGTTTTCATGTGACTTTGATTAGAAAGTGAAGAAGTCAGAGTTATACGCCACTTCTTTCTGTATGCTTCTGCCAGTTTCTGGGATATGAGGAAAATATTATGTTCTCTTTATTTCTTTAGGGTCAGACACAAGAACCAGTGCTGCTGCTGCTGACCTTGGTTTTTGGAGCATTGTTGGGAGATGCTTTGGGGGATAAATGGGTCTTGCAAATTATTAGTAGTCTTACTAGAAGTCAAGATTGAAACTTGGTCATTTCTCACTGTTCTTTCAGAACTCTCATTTCCATTTGTGGTTTTTGTCATTAAAATCTCTTATTCTAACGAACAGTTTAATAATTGTTGTGAATGTAACTAGTATTGCTATAAATGTGTATATATAATACATACATCATACTAGTATTACTATATATAGATGTACATATACACACTGAATTTGTTAACTATGCAGCATGGAACCTTGTTCCAAAGTTGTTTGAGCAGTAAATCATGAGTTAAGAGTTGCTTGTTTGCTTGGTAAGTAGTTTTCAGATGTCAGATGCAAGAGCACTTGTGTAGCATGTTGAGGACCTGTGCTGACAGAGAAGAGAGAATAAAATGCTACCCAAGTATTACAGAGAATGTAATGCAGAGAAAATTTGGGGGGAATAAATTTACTTAGGAGTTATTTGTGGTGGGATATACCTTTACTCTCAGGACTTTGGAGTTGGAGGCAGGGGGATCAGGAGTTTCCTGGCTATGTGTGGAACTAAGGCTAACCTGGGCTAATAATCCAAGATTAAAACAAAACAAAACCCACAAATCAGTTCACCAGTCATTGAATCAATTGATGTGGTTTTTATGTGCAGTTTTCATCAGGTAAGGTATTTTACAATTTCATCTGTATACATTTGCCTGATTAGTTAAACATGAAAACATCTTAGATTTTTACAAGTGTGAAGCTAACATTTTAAGTTACTAGTAGAAGTTGGAATTCTATTACTGTCTCATAGACAACAAAGATATTTAAATACAGCTTAATTTCAAGTTAGGCAAATCCTAATACCTTTCCTTCTACCTCATTTTATAAATGACAGGCTAAAAACTCACAGTGAATAATGGATGACTGTCTGGTTCCCATTTTAGCTGGTTGTGTAATCTGGATGCACTTTAGAGCTATTGTTCTGAATGTCTAGGCTAACTCCCTTCAGTCATGTTTTTAAAAGGGAGAAAGATACACAGTGGAATTGAGGGGGGCAGGGCAAGAGGAAGAGGATTGTTGGGTTAATAGCTGTAACTTATCTTTTCATCCTTAAGTTATTGCTTCCTTTATTGAGCGAGAGAAGGACTAGGAAGAGCAGTATTGTATGTTCCTTACATGCCAGGCTGGTGTTTATGTGAAAAGCTCATTTCCTCTAGGAAGCATTGCGGGTCTCTCAAGGCTGCCCTCCCCCCAATCTTACCGCTCTGCGGCTCTACCAGCATCCATGACAGAACAAGGCTTGTTCATTATCTACAGTCCAGCTGCGCTGAATGGTGACACTTACAGGATGTTATTTGGTTGAAGAATTGGGCTTTATTGTAGATGGTGGCATGAAGACAAATGGGTAGAAATGAAGACTGCTCAAAATAGAAGACAGTCTTGCCATAGGGCTCAAGGCAGGTGGCTGCTGTTCACTTTGCAAACTAGTAAAATGTTGGGCAGTTTCACATGTAAAGGCTTGCTTACAACACTGAGATTCAGGACTTTATCATGTGTAAAGGTTTGTTTACAATGCTGAAATTCAGGACTTTACATTTATATCTTTGCTTATTTGTTTCCTGATTTTTTGCCATAAAGGTTATGGTGTCATCTGATGTGTTCATCTCTCTGCTGTGTCTGGGCGTGGACCATCTCTGTGTCCAGACTTGCGCTGCTTCAGTTTGCTGATTGGTGCCTTTAAGTCTGAAAACTGCTCTGCCTTTGTTCCTTAGATTGTATCTACCCTTCCCTTCTGGTGCTCCTGTTAGGTCTGTTAGAGCCTCCCGTCTTGTTCCCTCTTGCACTCAACTGCTCCGTAGGATTTTTTTCTTCTCTTCATTGTTTATTTTTCTAACTACATCTACTCTGCTGCCCAAAGTACATCAGATTATCAGTACCAATCTTTTTGGCAGTCCATTGAGTAATAGCAAAAATAGGAATAAAAATGTTTTCAATCCAAATGTCCATCAACAGCAGATTGAATAAAGTGCTTGCTATATAATGGAGTGTGATATGGAGATAAAAATGTGCAAATTATAGCTATGGGCAACAATGGTTTAGTACATCTCAGCGACATAATGCTGATTAAAACCATAGAAAGTGAAACGATGTTTTTCTTAGGGCTGTGCACTTGAAGGTAAACACTTGCGGTAAAGTTGTTAAGATAAGCAAGAGAATGATGAGTCCATTCAGAGATCATCTGACAGAGGAAGTGAAGGCAACGGAGAAGTTGGGGTATCCAGGAGGGCCTCAGGGTGTGTGTGGGGTGGTGCACGTTGTCTTATACTGGGTTGTGTTAATTAAATATTTTGTTCTCATTCCTTCTCATATATCTGTATTTCCTAAGTTCTTTTTGTGCCTGTTCAGTATTAATGCAACAAATTAAAAATACTCAGAGCAAATGAATGCAAACATAACTTAATTACCAGTGTGGTATCATCTTTGAAAAGACAGTTTTATAGTTTAATTGACTTATTTAGTTGTTGGATCTGCACTTGGTTTGTTAATAGTTTTTAAGAGCTCAAAGTATCATGATTTTAAAGTATTAATCTGATACATTGCTTTTCTCATGAGTGCCAGCAATAATTCCATGAGATGATTATACTTCAAACCAGTGTTAAATTGAAGTGTAGTTATCCAGCAAACCTCTTAGAGTCACACCTTTGCTTCAGTCTCTGTGGTGGCAGTCCAGCCATCCCTCTGTGTGCTGTGTCCGTAGTGACTGGCCTGACCTGCAGTCGATGGCATTAGCCGTGTGAGCATATGCAGCTCAAGTGACTTTAGGTTAATCTTTGAAAACAGGACTTCCAGCAAAGCATCTTGTATTCCTTTTACAGAAATGTTGCTGAAGTGCTGCTGAAGGGGCCAGAGATGCAAGGATTTGGGACACATTTGCACCTTTAAGCTGTCTGACATTGACCTCCTTTCATTATTAATAAAGAAGAAGCAGGAGCTTAGGATGTATTAACCGACTCATTACTGTACTAACTGGACAGTGTTCTTCTGCAAACTCCTCTGCACTGTAAAGACCTGGACTGGCAAGGAGACAGTAATTTCGCATTTTCTCAGCTTATAATATGACTCGATGGAGGGAAATTTGATAAGCATGAGGGAAGACCATTCTTTTCATGTTCGCTACAGGTAAGACTGCTGCTCTTAGCGTGTGCCTCTTCATCTGTCTAGACATGTATTTAGTTGTTGTCCATTTCAATTTCAAAATTCTCAAAATATACCAACTAAATTTAGTCTATTCTGGAAGCAGTTTTGTGGTGGTGGTAAATTTTTGTATACTTTTGTGAAACAGTGGTGGTAGAGACTAAATATACTCTTATTTATAATATTCTTTGGGAGAACTTGTGAATAGCTGCTTATATTTTGTAACTTGTGCATTGTAAATATAAAATGGAATCTGTTTTAAGACTGTTGTGGGTAATAATTAGATGAACTGTTGTGACAGTTTCTAAGTGGTGGTCTTCAAAACAGACAGGTTAAATAAAGTTGGAATAAGTATCTACTTTCTAAACACAACAGATCAACAGCCAGCTTGATGTTTAGTAGTACAACACTAATGATGTGTCTGATAGAATAGGAACAAAGCAAGAGTATTTCTATTATTTGACATTTATTCTAGAAGTTCTGGTCCAACCATAAACAATTTCTCAGGTGATTATATAACAGTCGGTTCTTTCTCAGAATGTGTTGATGAAACACCCAAGTTCATAGTCAGGAGAAGAATTTGAATTGGTGTCTGTCTCTATGTTTGGTTTTTCAGACAGGGTTTCTCTGTGGAGCTTTGGAGCCTATCCAGGCACTCGCTCTGGAGACCAGGCTGGCCTCGAACTCAGAGATCCGCCTGCCTTTGCCTCCCAAGTGCTGGGATTAAAGGCATGCGCCACCAACTCCCAGTCCTCCATTTCTTAACCTGAGTTTAATAGGAGATTTGTACTGTGACATAGATGGTTCATGGTAGGGCATGGTGCCAAGGTTAGATAAAGTTAGGCTCGCTCTCTCTCCTTCCCTCCCTCCCTCTCTCTCTCCCTCTCTCTTTCCCTCCTGTCCTCTCTCTCTCCCTCTCTCCCTCCCTCCCTCCCTCCCTTCTCTCTGTCTGTCTCTCTGTCTGTCTGTCTCTCCCCTCTGTCTTGTGTATGTGTGTGTGTTGTGCATATATGCACACATGTATATATGTATGTTTCATGAATGTGGAGGCCAGAGGACAACTTCAGTGTCATTCCTTAGGCGACATCTACCTTTTTTAAAGACAGGATCTTTGACTGGCCTGGAACTTGCCAGAGGGGGTTTCCCGATCAGCAGACCTGGGGATCCCTCTATGTCTGCCATGGGATTACAAGTGCACGGCACCACACCTGGGGGTTTAAATGTAGGTTCTACGCTCTAACTCTTTTCGTTTAAAAAAAAATTATCTATCATCTGTCTATCGTGTGTGTGTGTGTGTGTGTGTGTGTGTGTGTGTGTGTGTGTGTGTGTGTGTCAGGGGCAGGGGTGTGTATGCCATAGTGTACATTTGGAAGTCAGAAGACGATTTGTGTGACTTGGTTTTCCCTTTCCACAGTGTGGATTCTGGGATAGGGTGCAGGTCACCAGGCTTGGGGATGCCCATCATCCACAAGACCACCTAGAACTCGTGTCCTCATGCATGCACTTTTCTAACCTCATTACCTTCCCAAACTAGTAAGGCCATTTTTATTAAAAAATTTTGAAACCTCAGGCTGGTGAGAATCACACATTGGAAAATGCACTTAAAGCATAAACTGTGTCCCTGAGTTTAATGCCCTGGTATACACTGAAAGTCAGGGAAGAACTGAGTCTCAAGAGTTGGCCTCACTGGCATGCAGTGGTACATGTATGCAAGTGTGTGTGCACACATACATACACAATAAGTAAATGATTTTTTTTTTTTTTTTAAGCTGGAGGCATGGTTGCCCATACCTGTAATCTCAGCACTCAGGATTGAAGCAGGAGTTTTACAGAGTTCAGCCAGCCTGAGCTACATTACTGGGTTCTAGTTTAGACTGCAGAGTAAGACCTTGCCTCAAAAAAGGAAGAGTATTTTCAAATAAAGGGGAATGGAAGGCATTCAGTTTGGCCCCGCATTTGCTGTGCAGTTCTCTCATCGTAACCCTAGGCCGTATCTCCCCAGACCTGAAAGTCCGCTTCCTTCCTTTGAGAAGCGCTGCCACTCCTGAGCGTTTCATAGATGCACCTCCGTATCTGCATCTTTCCTGCCTGCAGTGGTCCAGGTTCCCAGCGTCCTCCCTCAGCACTGCCCACTCTTACCTTCCTAGAATCGCCTTAAATTTTCACTCAGTGAAAACAGCTAACCGTGCAGCCAAGGGTGGCCCCTGGATGCCTGGGGCACAGCCAAGCTGACCACAGTGTAAGATGCTCTACTTTCTGCCCTTTTTTTCTTTTCTTTTTTGTCTCAAGACAGGGTTTCTCTTTGTAGCCCTAGCTTTCTTGGAACTTCACAAAGATCTATCTGCCTCTGCCTCCGGAGTGCTGGGATTAAAGGCATGTGCCACCATGGCCGGCTGTTTTTCCTTCTTTACCTCTCCCTTATTTCTGTGGTTGTTGGTGCCTCAGGGAAGCCCAGTTGCTTAGCATTTGTTTGGTATGCATCCTGTTGAACTTTGTAGGACGTAACCATCAGATGAACCAGGAACATGTTTATCTGCCTTTTGACCGTTGTGAAGAGTGGTACACCTCTGCCACTGTGTAAGAGTATAGCGGGGGAGGAAAGGAATGGACCCCTGCCTGTAGGAGACCTTAGTTTTCTTCTTCCTCGACAGGTCAGACTGGGTTGAACATTGCTGCTCTAGGAGGATTCATAACTATCTGTAGTAAAAGACGCCGAACATGTCTGGCTACATGAGTGCTCTAACATGGCATTCTGTAGCATGTAGGTGTGTGCAGTGTCAGGTCACATGAATGTGAATGTGTTGTGTTAGGTGTGGCCTAGTGTAGCTTCCTCTGCTGTAGGAAATGCTTAGGCTGCCGTGTTTTAGCCACCTGGTTCCTTGTCTATTGTGGAATTCCTCATCTATCCCTCCAGGAGTTTCTGTAGTTCAGTGGTAACAGCTTTGGAGTATTTCCCTTGATAACTGAGAAAGCCTCACTCCCTGGGGACATCAGAATACTTTAGGATACATACATACATGTATTTTGATAACAAAATACATTGAATACATTCCTAAACTTTAAAAGATGATTGACTTTAGAGAATTTTAGGTGTGATAAAATACACCCCCCCATCTCTCCCTCTGTTTTGAGACAAAGTCTTACTATGTGCCCAGGTTAGTCTCAAACTCCTGTGCTCAAGTAACTTTACCTCGTTCTTCCAAGTGCTTAATGATATTAAAAATACTTTTTAGCAATATACACTAAATATTTGTCAGTGAAACTATATGCATTCTGGAATATACTTCAAGATTATCTGGGATTGGAGTGGGTTTGGGAGTAGAGATGAAACATTGATTGTATTGGTAACTGTGAAGTTGAAAGATTGATACATTCATTACACTAGCTTCTATAGTTTTGTATTTCTTTGGGACCTATCCTTGTTTGTCCTTGTCACATGAATAATAAATACTTCAATACTTTGATATTAAAAAGTAAGTCTATTATATTCAAGTAAAAGGAGTAACTACCAGCTGGAGAGATGGCTCAGCAACTATGAACGCTCTCTGCTCTTAGAGAGGACCCAAGTTTGATTCCCAGCACCCATGTCAGGCTCACAACCACCTGGCCATCCAGCTCCTGGGGATCTGATGCTCTCTTCTGGACTCTGAGGGCACTCACACATATAGCATACATTCACACACCCCACACATGGCAAGGGTTTGTGGGAGGAGACATACATGAATAAATTAAAAAATATTTCTTAAGAAGAGAGAAAAATAGGCCTGAGAAATCTTGGTGGATAAGAATGTCTGCTACTTAAGTATGAAGACCTGAGTTCAGATCCCCAGCACTCAAGTAAAGGCCAGGAGTGGCCATGTGTGTCACCCCACTGGTGGGATGAGGTAGACACATGTAGACCCCTAGAACTTACTGGCCATCACTTGAAACTGTCTCACTGGGACAAGTTAGAAAGTGGTATCTCAGAACACACAAACATGCACACTCATAGATACACCAAACAAACACACAAATAAATGAAATGAAAATAATTTAAAAGATATAATTTAGGGGCTGGGGGGTGGTTACTCAGTAAAATGCTTGCCTTACCTTCAGTGGACCTGAGTTTAATCCCTAGAACTCATATGTAAAAACAAAACAACAAAAACCCAAACAAAGCGGGGCTCAGTGGCACAGTGCTGCAGAGACAGAAAAGTTGTGATTTCTGGAACTCACCAGCAGCCAGTCCAGCCTACTCAGCAAGTTCCAGGCCAGTTAGAGCCCTTCTCAAGACGAAGAAGGTGAATAGCTCCTGAGGAGCAGTGTGGAGGTTGTTCTCTGGCCCCTACACGTGTAACTGTTATGATAAAGCTTGAAGGGGACCTTAAGTGGGGGACCTTGATGGATTCTGTGGTGGGTGAGGTTGACTAAGGTGGAGGGACAAACATGCCAGGCAGACAGAGCTTTTTATTAGAAAGGGGATGGAAGGGGGGAAGGAAAGAACAGAGCTAAAGAGACAGATGACAGAAGAGAAGATGGAGATGGGAAAAGTCCTGTCTGCCACAGTGAAACTGAAGGGGTGGGTGTGGGGGGCGGGAAGAGAGCTGGAAAAGAGACTGTAAGCATGTATGGGTATCTTTCTTTTAAGGGGTCTTTGCACCTGTGTGCAGACTATGTAACCATGGAACCCTGGGCTGACCACATTACTGCCCAAGTGCATTCTGCCAGGTGACAGGGACAGCATAATGCCTGAATCCTTACAGAGAGAAATATAGTTTGGTATTGAATTAATATTTGTTAGAGGTATGTAATTGCTAATATTCCTTCCTGAGGCTGATGAGGTAGCTCAGTTGGTGGAATACTCTTGCTTTTACCTCGCCTGCAGAGCCCCAGCACTGCATAAACCAGGTGTGGTGGCCCACACCTGCAGTCCCAGTACTCAGTAGGTGGGGATAGGAAGATTAGAAATTCAAGGCCATCATTTGCTATGTAAAATCAAAGTGAAT